CATATTGTTTCACGGCTTTTGAATCTCCTCGCGCCTCCATCAATTTATTTTGAATAACAATTGAATAACGCTGAAAATATTCTCCCTCATCTTAAGATCTTCTGTTCATGTAAATCATCACTCCTTGTCCCGAAGAGGGCATAGTGTATAGATTTGTATAGATTTGTGTAAATATATTTAAATAGAAAACACACTGGTGGGTAAACTCAATATTTTGGTGACAAGAAAGCTGCTACAGAGGTTATACTGAACATGAAAGTTTATATGATGAGATTTCACATCACAATAACACATGAACATTTTCGCCCCCTCTTTTAGCTTTACTCCGGCACTTGGTTTACAAAGAAGCCCTAATAGTCCTCATGTTCGAAAACCAAACAGATGTCACATTTCCATTACAACCTGGGAATCTTACTTATTGTAAAACAAAAGGCTGTAATAGTTTAGCTGAGCTGAGGAATTTCATCACTGTAACCATGGAAACGGACCCATTTTACTCTTAAACTTTCCTGTCAGCAGGTGGTTGAAAACTGGGGTAAATATTAACTATTTTCTCCTACATGTTCAGAATAACATTCAAGTATAAACCATGTAAAACGTCAAAATAAAATATTCCAAATTTTCAACAAAAGCGATCTAAACGATGCACTGAATGGGAATCGATGCCTTCAAACAAGCTCTGCATCAGCCCCATGCGCACAGTGATTAATGGGAGATAATCTGCCAGGCTCACAATCAGCAAGCATAGAAATGGGAATTCTCCAGCTTTTGGAGAACAGAGTAGAAAAGAGGCCTCTCGGAAGAAGATCCCACACATTTGACTTCTTTCTCAAACCATTAACGTACAAGCACAGCTCATGTCCGACTAGCTTCTAGCAAAATCTTATTACATGATTTCATTTTGCATGACAACACGTTGTGGAATCCTCTTCTTGAGGATGATACTTCCTTTCATCTTCATTACCATCAACAGAAGCAGCACATGGTTGCCATGGCCCAGTGGTGATGCCAACACACTGAAGTTGCTAGTCCTTATTTGGGACAACCTTCCAGTTCTGGAATATTAATTAGTCCTATGGATACATTAAACATTGAGCGTATGAGAGGACTGCAAGTTTATAGGATTCTGAATAAATAAGGTTTGGTTTGTTTGTTTGTTGTTATTTCTTAGCATTATTCCAGCTATATGATGGCAGTCTGTTTATAATCGAGACAATCCAGTGATTGACATCATGAGCATCAATCCACACATTTGGGATACGATGACATGCATCAACCGAGTCACTGAGCCTGAACACCTAATCAAGATATTCACCTCTCACAACAAGTATGTCACCTCTTATGGTAGGCATGGGTTGCTGAAGACCTATTCTACCGGCTAAGGTTTGGTACAGATGCCAGTCTTTTCAAGACTATGGGCAAACACTATGCTGATATGCATTGTGGATGAGTCGTATGTGAGTGTATGTGAGTCGTATGTATATCCTGGTGCAACAGTACAGGAACAACTACTTGTGTGAAGATCGATCCAATAATGAATGAATATGGTTCTACCCAAATTTTAGAAATATTCCTGCTATAATACAACAGGAAACACCAGAAACACAGGTAACACAGGAAACAGAAATGGGCTTCACACATTGTGCCCATGTGGGGAATCGAACCCTGGTCTTCAGCACGGCAAGCGTATGCTTTAACCACTAGGCTACCCCACCACCCCTTTAATGTTACAGAATAAAGGTCAAGGGTACAATGACACACGATCACACATGCACCTGACCAACTGATCCATATGAGTCCACTGTTACAAGTGGGGAGTAACTGTGATCAATTCTACACTGTATCTCCATGGATCCATATCAGAGGTAATGTGGAATTCAAAACAATAAGCAGATCCTGGCACACGAAGGGTTGCAACTCTGCACAGCAAGTGAGTGAGTGAGTGAGTGAGTGTGGTTTTACACCGCTTTTAGCAATATTCCAGCAATATCATGGCAGGGGACACCAGAAATGGGCTCCACACATTGTACCCATGTCGGGAATAGAACCTGGGTTCTCGACGTGACAAGCAAACACTTTAACCACTAGGCTACCCGACCGCCCATCACTGGTGTGAGTTTGAATAGCTATAATACTCAAATGAAGTTCAGGAACACCCTACTCTTTCATATTACAATAGTTAATCTGTCATGACAACAATCATACAATCATAGTAATATGAAAGGATCCGGTGGTCCTTATCTTCTTTTGAGTAGTATATCTCGTCAGCACCACATCAGAGAAGTCATAGCTCCGCACTAAGGCTCCACTAGCCTTGTTCTCAGCCATGCAGTCATTCATTGCCTAAATGATAACTATATTTCCTGGCCTAATAAATTACACTTATCAACCACACCATATTCTTTTCCTTATTCATTTCCTCTAAAGTCAGAATGCGAAAGACTTACGCTTTTATCTTCCTCCCCACCAAATACCTATCTCTGAATCCTTGGTGCAAAATGGCCAATTGAGTGGGCTATTTTTGTACCTTAACTGGAAGAAATTAAATAACTTCTCCTTTGATCAATTATTAACCCATGTTCCACTCTGTGCCTAAACCCAAACACTGACAGGTTCCCGGAATAATGTAAGTTTAGACAGTCCAAACCAAATTAAATGGAGAACACAAGAGTTTGATAGTGATTCCTGCAGGAAGCCTAGACATGGCATCCTGCCTGTTCTCCTTACGGGGTCAGCTCCCACAGAAGTGAGTGGACATCACTAGACAGTCTCCAATAGTTGGAGCAAGCCAGCCATTCTGTTGGAACTCGGATGTCCTGTTAGAGTCAATGCAATACACACATCTGATATAAGGGTTGAAAGATCAAATCAAATTTAATATGTGCGAGCATTTTAGAGATACTGAAAACTGATTGGTTTGTTAAAGTAATGATGTCCTGCATTGCTAGGAGAGTCAGTTCAGAGAGAGTTCAGTCATATCATTGGTGTCAGTTTAAATTTGGCAGGAAAGCCCGAAATGACACAGTCTTGGAAGTTTACCACTTGGATGAATGAGTGAGTGAGTGAGTATGGTTTTACCCCACTTTTAGCAATATTCCGGCAATATCACGGCGGGGGACACCAGAAATGGGCTTCACACATTGTACCCATGTTGGGAATCGAACCCAGGGTCTTTGGCGTAACGAGCAAAAGCTTTAACCACTAGGTAACCCGACCGCCCCCAACTTGGATGAGTGAGTGAGTGAGTGAGTGAGTGAGTGAGTGAGTGAGTGAGTGACATAGGTCTTTGACGTTCATAACTTTGGTGAAACCTGTGTTGACAAAAAAAAGTACCATAGTCGGGGTCAATCTGGACTTAAATATATACCATCATATCCTGGCGTAGATAAAGAATACAACATCAACAACCTGTCAACAATGGAACATACACCCTCGTTTTTATTTTATTTGTGTTCACTTACACCACTGTATGACAACTATGTCATATGATGATGAGTCAGCATAAAGTCTGAAGTGATGCCTGACCCAAGCAGGGACATAGGGATATGGTGCAATCAAACCAACAATCCCAATCGGGCAAAACTCTGGGATTTCAACAGTCAATCATCAGATATTTGCATGACTGAAGAATGACAATGATTTGCACTTCCTTCGACAACTGGTTATTCAAAGAATGAATACAGTCCTATACTGTTACAGCAACAATTCAAAATACCACTGCCGCAGATACCATCACTAGGCTTCACACATAATACTCATTTGGGAAACAGAACCCAGATGGATCAGCTTGATGAGCAAATCCTCTGTCCACAAGTCTACCAACTACCGGTGATAATTTTACTTTCTCTGGCTGTCCACATACTTTCATTACTTAAATTGTCACTGGGAGTGAAAAAATGTTTTCTCCTTGTCACACTCCCCCACCAACAAAAAAAATCCTGAATGAAATGGGAAAGATTCAAACAACATTTCTTGTGAACATCCACAAACAAAACACTTGTTTTTGTTTTTTTCCCATGAATGTGTAATAACTATGAATAATACACAATAGATTTAGGTATTATGTTCATCCAAACATTCTTTAATGCCCTCCGTGTATGACTATAAAGACTACTGAATCAATAACCGAGAAGACCAAAGTGAATTTGATAACAGGCCCAAGCCCTGTGTCTCTCATTTAAACCCGAGTACACATAATATTTGCCTTTCTTGAAACATTTTGCCACTTGAGCAAAATATGTATTATTCATTTCGAGAATCTGTAAACTAATCACTGTCACCACTGCCTCAGTGGCCAAGTTAAACTGCATACACTATCTTCCCAATGACACACAATTGTTATTGTTGCTGCAAAAGAGCCATTAGTTTTTTTGTTCCAGGAAAACTTTGACATTTCTGTATCACGGATATGGAAGCATAGATGAGTCCATTACAGAATTTTATTGCCAACAGCTTTTTTGACAGCTATCTCACAAGCAGACACGAGACTCGGAATAACTTGGAATACATTTTCTCAAAGATATTGCAACTTTGGGGAAATATATTTCAGTTCCAAATGTGTCTGAAAACTGAAAATAATTTAACAAAAGAAAGCATTTATCACAACTGAAATGAAAATTGTAAAAACACAAAGTGTCAAAGAGCGTTTTTCTTCTGAATGAAATAAATCAAATGATTACATTCTGAAAACTGTTTTGATACTGTTAAAGGTTATCCCAGGCTTCTATGTTCCCTGTTTAATAAAGCTGTATGCATAGGAGACATGTACAAAGAGTACACATGTACAAAAATCAAATCAAAACATTTGAAAAATGTCACATAATAAGGAGAGAATCCTGAAAAGAATTGTACATGTCATAACGCTGCAAAAGAAGTGTTGATTAATATGTGGACATTCAATGAAAAGAAACCATCTACTGAAAATCAAAACAAGTATCGCAATGTGAATGAGTCCTATCAAAAAATAAACATGGCATCAATAGTTTAATATGTCTACTTACTCGTCCCATACAGTTCCGCTTGTTCATTGCCGCTAAGGCTGACGCAGCTGCGCTGTGCTCGTAGAATTCTACGAACGCATAAGGGTCGTTTCCAGGCTGCAATAGATACAAAAACATCAATGAAAATCGGAAAATAATTTCTGAAAAGGACACAATCAAATATATGTCTACCGCCAAAAAATCCATTCCCTCACCTTTCCAAATACACGGAATGGCTGCACGATACCCTCAAGCAAGGACAATGTTGACTCTTTAAAGTCAGTCACAATGCCAGACCAATTGGGCAATGTCTGAACCTGCACAACGTCTAATCAGCCGATTACCTGGGGTTCTAGTGCGAGTTTCAAGACCTCCATTTGCTAAACGGATTGGGCATGTGTACCTCCAAATGGGGACGTAGACAGGAATCCTAGCATAGGAATAACGGCAGGGACAATTTGATTTGTCTTGATTGGCAAGATTGTTGTGTCAGCTAACAACCTATTTAGCCTCTCATGACAGCCAGCCCATCACTAAGAAGCTCAGTCCTGACTTGAGCTGACATTTCCCTTACAACATAAATCTTTATTAACTTTACCAAGCTTACGACACTTTCAATAAGTATACAAGTTGGGCAAAAAATTGAAAGTGGAGGAGGCATTTTTCAGCATCTTGAGTACACATCATTGCTTGAGGCTACTGCAGCAGTGGTGCTTCAATATACCCTTCTGTTGTTGCATGATTTGATCAATGTTACTCGCACAAAAAGACTACATCACCATATTTACTTTACATGGGGTTTGAAGATGTAATTGAGACTATGATATTCATATCAAAAGGAAAAATAGATCTTTCTGACAACCATTAGAATTTATGTCACAGTCAATCATATGAGGCGTCAGAGTGGATGAGTGTGGTTTTAAGCCACTTTCAGCAATATTCCAGCAATATCATGGTGGGGACACCAGAAATGAGCTCATACATTGTACACTAAGGTGTTGGAAAGTGACGTTTTCTGCTGTAGTATCATAAACAAAGGATGCACTTTTGTTTGTTTGTTTGTTGTTTAACGCGGCACTCAATATTCCAGATATATGGCAGCAGTCTGTAAATATTTCAGTCTAGACATGGAAATCCAGTGATTGACAGCATGAGCATCAATCCGTGCAACTGGGATACAATGACATGTATCACCCAAGTTAGCGAGGCTGAACACCCAATCCATTAGTCGCCTCTTACAACAAGCATAGTCGCCTTTTACAGCAAAACAAATGCACAAAACATTAGGTTTAACAGTTACAAGTATGACAGTGTATCAGCTCGGTGTACCTGATTAACGCAGCTAACCTCAAGCATCATGAAATCCAACATACAGATGAATTTTTGCAAATAGAGCGAGTGAGTGAGTTGGGTTTATATTTTGCAAATATATCCACATTATTAATTTCAACAATCAAATTACACAATGCTTGAGGTCTGCTGTTTCATTAAAGTGATTTACCTGAAAACAAAAGTGTGCAAAACATTTATGCAATGGTTTGACAAGGAAGATATTTGGGCAATTTGACCTTTCTCGTTTTCAAGTAAAACAAAGATTTTGCAATCATACCATATTGTATGTGACCAGTTCATTACAAGAATAATAAATTCATTTTTGGATATTAATAATTACATATCTATATGTACTAGTAATTACACATGTTGACTGTCATTCTTTGTTCACAATTCATGTGTTCATGTGTTGTAGAACTGTGTAACAAATATACTCAAGGAGAGTGAGTGAGTGAGTGAGTGAGTGAGTGAGTGAGTGAGTGAGTGAGTGGCTTAACACCAACTCCATAGGGTAATAAAGATTAAGTTATGTAGGTCATAGAGAGAATCAGATGGGTTAAACTCACAAAATCGTGTACAGTGCCCAAAACCCAAGATTCATAATCAGAGAAAACCTCCCTTGAACCCCCCTAAAGTGGATCCTGGCATTTAAGGGGCACAACTCTGGAAGAGGTACACCTACACAATCATTTCAGAGTATCAGACATTTTTAGCTGAGTGAAATTTGTTTTCCCTGCAGCCAAAAATAATACAACCCTTGTCCTCGTGGTCTGTAAATAATCAAGTTGGGAACAGACAAATCAATGGTCGATAGCATGAGCAACGAGACACATCTTTCAGATATGATCTTGTCAGTTCAAGGATTAAAAGTCCACTAAAGGAGGGCTCAGGGTGCGCCCAGAGAATGGAAGGTCGTTGGTTTGATCCCAAATCGTGTCAAACCTGAAGATGTCAAAAGGTGGTACTTGTTGTTACCCTGCCTGGCGCTCAGCATTAAGGAGATACTCTGAGTGGGATATCCATGTCCAACTGCACAAAGGGAAACAACTCTTCACAGCGAAATGCAGCACCTTAGAGGACTAGGAGACCCGTGAACACCACAACACCACCGATATATCCGATATGATGCAGACAACAGTGTAAAATAATATTCCTTCAGTCATTATATGCACAAAAGCATAAAACCAGTGCACGAGGAAGCCGAGCTACTCAACCCAAGGTAATGTGATAAACATGCTCTGTGGGTTGGGCAATAGTGTTTTAATCTAAGGACCCTTCAAGTCCTTTATTCAAAACATTAGGATCATTTGCTCGTCATCCTGAACATTCGAAGATAAACAAAAAAATAGGTCACTTTCTCTTTGACACTTCCACTTGGGCATCTGAGACTCAATGAACCAAGTGTTAAGAGGTGCCTTGATTCACAGATTAATCAAATCAAGCGAACCTGGTTCAATTTTATTACACAAAACACTTCAATTTTCAGTGAAATGATTTTCAAAATGTCAATCCTCAGCTAAAAACAAAAACTCTTGTCATCATGATCACAGGAAACTGGGCCAAGATGACCCCAGTTCACACATTTGCCAGCAAACTATTCCAGGACGATCAGAGTCATTCCTGCGGCACTGAAATACTTTCTGCTACATGTCAAATTGTTAATATCAAGTCTGTGTTACTTGCCACACTCTGAATTTCTACAATTTGAAATTTATATGACCTTTCAAAGATATCATTTTATGTTTGGTTAACATAAAACACATTGTGGCAGAAATTGTGAGATTTTTTTCCCCATGTTATTGACATTATTTGCCTGTTAAACAATAACCAGACCTTGTAATTCTTTTACCCCATTACCTTTGGGAGTAGGAAGAACTTTTGTTTGACATGTGCTTTTATGTTTCTCTGCGGAATCAGGTTTTTGCAAAAATGCTGATAAACATTTTCTGGACTTGGTATTAAAACAATATCTATAAATCTCATGAGATGAATCCTGTGAGAGTCAGTGGATGGCTTTTTATGTCATTTCACCGTTCTTTCAGCTCCACCAAACTGAACCCATAACTACAGTCTCCGAACACTTTGAAATCAAATAGTCGGAATATATCAAATTGCATATTTTCCGCTGATTTGAGTGCTAACATATGGCCGAGTTATAACAGAGAAAGACTCAGACAAACAACATGCAGTTGAATAAACAGACTATTGGAGTGAGTGAGTGAGTGAGTGAGTGAGTATTGATAAAGGCATCTTTAAACAGTATTTAAGTTATATCACAGCACATCAGCTTGATGTGGGCGTAAAAACCCAGAAGAGATGCATGTCTTGGATGCGTCACAACTTCAGTGAAACCCACACGTACAGAGATGGTGCTAACAAACCAAGAAGCAATCAGGTTGAAAATCTCAGATTCAAACCCTGGATCATACATTTCTGGCAAGCCTAACTCTGCACTTCAAACTGCCGTGGCTTAGACGTCTGAGCCACAGTTGTCTCCAACTATGAGTGAGTGTATATTGTCAGAGCTCCAGATAAGCTGCGTATCTGCGTGAAATACGCATCAGAAATGCAGAAATACACAGTAAAATATAATCCAAGCGTATCAAATACGCAACGAACATTACAGATACGCTACAAAAATAAAACTTGTGCGTATCATCAAAATATTGTGAAGTAACCCTGCGTATTCGATTAGCAAATTAGCAAATTAGCAAATCAGCAACTTATTTTGAAATTATAAACGGGCATTCCGTCAACCTTGCCAAACTCCACGATGACAGTTTCATCATGATCATTTGCCATCACACTTTCTTGTGGAAGTATCGTGGTATTTTTGAGTCCTATAAAGCTCTCGAACCCACACGACACCAGTTTGCAGGGACTAAATGAATAGTGTTTTTAAATATTTAACTTAAATACCCACATGTGTAAAAACAAGTGGGTAACAGAAATTTGAATACGCAGATAGAATTACTGATACCCAATGATTTTAAAATGCATGGGTAAAATACCCACAACACCAAAAGCTTATCTGGAGCTCTGATTGTTGTACACTACCAATACCATGACCATGAATACACACACACTAACCATGAAGAGTAACAAACCTGGACTTTGGCATGTTAAGATTTTGTTTTGTTTGTTTGTTGTTTAATGCAGCACTCAGCAATATTCAAGCTATATGATGGCGGTCTATAAATAATCGAGTATGGACCAGACAATCCAGTGTTTGACATCATGAGCATCAATCCACGCAATTGGGATACGATGTCATGCATCAACCAAGATCTGACCACCCGAACCCATTTGTCGCCTATTTCGACAAGCATAGTCGCCTCTTACGGCAAGCATCTTCACGGGTCAGCATGTTAAGTGAGTAACTGAGTTTGGTTTTACGCCGCTTTTAGCAATATTCCAACAATATCATGGAGGGGGACACCAGAAATGGGCTTCACACATTGTACCCATGTCAGGATTCGAACCCGGGTCTTCGGCGTGACGAGTGTACACTTTAACCACAAGGCTACCCGACCACCCCGTTGGCATGTTAAGACTGGCCACTTGGCTACCACATCACCTATTTGACAAGTTACTTAAGAGGACGTAAAAGATACAGCTTATGGGTATATATCAATGCTGCAATTGACAACAGCACAAGGTCAACTGACAAATCTGGTTGAAATTGGGTTCTTATCTGCCCAAAGTGTATACAGCTGATTTACCACGACTGCTATAGGCGAGATTCACATGCAATGCTGGAGTGTGTCATGATGGTGTGCAGGCTT